GGGGGGAGAGGTGGGGGGTGAGGCAGAGCAAGGTCTGTGGTGGTGACGGGAGAGCTGGGCAGAGAGGTGGGGGGTTGGGGCAGCTGGGGGGAGAGAGAGGTGGGGGTTGGGGGGTGGGGCAGCTGGGGGAAGAGAGAGGTGGGGGGTGGGGTGTGGAGCAGCTGGGGGGAGAGAGAGGTGGGGGGTGAGGCAGAGCAAGGTCTGTGGTGGTGACGGGAGAGCTGGGTAGAGAGGTGGGGGGTTGGGGGGGTGGGGCAGCTGGGGGGAGAGAGAGGTGGGGGGCGAGGCGACGGCGTTACCGTAGTGCCGCTATTATCTGCGCAGTGCGCACTCTACCAGTGCTAAAACTGTACTTATCTACCAGTTGTGTTATTTATTGGATATTTACTTTTGTTACTTATTTACTGTTTTAAGTTCACTCGTTTCTGGTTAGTTTTTTTTCTTTGTGCACGTTAAGTTTTTAATGTTAACAATTGATAGTGGAATGTATTACAAATGTAAACTTCGTATTAATATGATGGAATTAAGCTGCGGTAACGACGTTAAATATATGAATGCATGCGAGGTATATGGAGGTGCGGGCTATCTAAAATTTGTTTTACACAAAACGCTATTTTTGCGGGGTATATGTGTCTGCGGGTTATATGCGTATGCGGGCTATATGCGGGATAATACGGTGCTTTTCTTTACAGTCAACACTACGTCTCCAATTTCCATTTGTTCTCTGATCAGTGTTATCCTGTTTCTGTTTTTCAGTGTACATTCCAAACATGCAACCTCCATGCCTCTTTGTGCACTTTACAAAATTTGTTCCATTGTATTCGTTGTTGTCCATTTTTTTCCCAATCCACAAAACATAAGAGGTATTAATCTTGATTTGAAGCTTTCATGACTGCAGGAATCCATACTCTTTGGTTCTTTCGGTAAAGTCACGTAGGTAGAAAAAATAATAGATCACGACGTTTCGATCGCAACAACAAGCAATCGACATCAGGCGGAAGGAGGGAAGCTGCTGATGCAGGCTGCTTTTAAAGGTTCGAGATGGGCGTAGCCCCAGAGTCATAAACGAAGTGGGGGGGGGGGGGGCTAGTGATGTTAAAGTGAGAAATTTGCATGTAAATGTACTGTGTAAATGTGATCAGAACGTCAATGTAAGCTCGCAGCGCGCCTTCACATCGAAGACTGCATGTAAACGTAAGATCGGCTTGCAGCGCACCGTCACATCGAGGACTGCATGTAAATGTAAGATCGGAGAAATGTGCATGTTAATGTACTGTGTAAATGTGATTGGCATGTAAATGTAAGCTCGCAGTGTGCCGTCACATCGAGGACTGCATGTAAATGTAAGATCGGAGAAATTTGCATGCAAATGTACTGTGTAAATGTGATTAGCACATCAATGTAAGCTCGAAGCGCGCTGTCACACCGAGCACCGCAGGTAAGCATAAGATCGGCTCGCAGCGCGCCGTCACATCGAGGACTGCATGTAAATGTAAGATCGGAAAAAGCTCGGAAAGAACCATAGCCACATCATAGCAAGCAAACGACGGTGGCTGTGTTATTGAATGCAACTCAGAGAGTCGCAAATAACTGCTGACATAGGCAGGTAGGAAGGGAACATCACCACCAGTTATGACCTAAACTGGTTAATAACGTCCTTCCAATGATTGCTCAGTTTGTACCCATCTTCTCGGTTGAAATTGTATCTGTGTTTATATATCTAGATGGCTTCATGAACGAGACTTTGATGGTAGCCCAAAGGTTTGCAGAGTACCTTGGTCTTGGAAATAACAATGTCGTGTGAGCCCACCGCGTTCAAGCAGTGATCAGCCACGGCAGAGGAATTGGTCTGCCGTGTTTCAAATCTGCCTTGTGTTCACGAACACGGTCCAAGACATGTCGCTTTGTTTCACAAATGTAACTGCTGCCGCAGACACAACTTGGCTTACAGACACCAGGATATTGCATGTCTGGAATAGCATTCTTCACCGATGGGATCAAATCACGGATTTTGTGAACTGTATTAAACCGGACTTAGATCTTGTGTTTGTTCAAGATTTTGGAAATCCTTTTGGTGACCCCTGCTATGTATGGCAAGGTGATGGTTTTGATTGGGTCCTCAGATGGTTCTCTACCCATGGCTGGGGATACAGCTTTGCGGATTGCGCGGTCCGAATATCCATTCATCTTGAGGGCTTGGCGTACATGGTGCAGTTCACTGGATAGGTGGTGCTGGTCGGAGATGCAATGGGCCCTATGGTGTAGTATTTTGATGAGGGAATTCTTCTGAGCTGGATGGTGGTGAGAATCAGGCTTTAGATAGGAATCCGTGTGGATCATGTCATGGATTTTGTGTACTGTGTTGAATCGAACCTGAATCTTTTTGGTAACCCCTGCTATGTATGGCAACCAAATGTGAAGTTAACCTGATTGCTAAATTCAACCTCCTGTAAAAAAGAAGCCAGAGCCACACCTTAAAAAGTTAGATGTTAACAAGATTGTTATCAATCACAGTAACAGCCCAATTTCCGACAGCCTACATTGACGTGCTAATCACATTTACACAGGACATTTGCATGCAAATTTCTCCGATGGTACATTTACAGTGAGGGAAAAAAGTATTTGATCCCCTGCTGATTTTGTACGTTTGCCCACTGACAAAGAAATGAGCAGTCTATAATTTTAATGGTAGGTTTATTTAAACAGTGAGAGACAGAATAACAACAACAACATCCAGAAAAACGCATGTCAAAAATGTTATAAATTGATTTGCATTTTAATGAGGGAAATAAGTATTTGACCCCCTCTCAATCAGAAAGATTTCTGGCTCCCAGGTGTATTTTATACAGGTAGCGAGCTGAGATTAGGAGCACACTCTTAAAGGGAGTGCTCCTAATCTCAGCTTGTTACTTGTACAAAAAACACCTGTACACAGAAGCAATCAATCAATCAGATTCCAAACTCTCCACCACGGCCAAGACCAAAGAGCTCTCCAAGGATGTCAGGGACAAGATTGTAGACCTACACAAGGCTGGAATGGTCTACAAGACCATTGCCAAGCAGCTTGGTGAGAAGGTGACAACAGTTGGTGCGATTATTCGCAAATGGAAGAAACACAAAAGAACTGTCAATCTCCCTCGGCCTGGGGCTCCATGCAAGATCTCACCACTACGCTGTGAAGGACTGAAATCCTGCAGTGCCCGCAAGCTACCCCTGCTCAAGAAAGCACATATACACGCCCGTCTGAAGTTTGCCAATGAACATCTGAATGATTCAGAGGACAACTGGGTGAAAGTATTGTGGTCAGATGAGACCAAAATGGAGTTCTTTGGCATCAACTCAACTCGCCGTGTTTGGAGGAGGAGGAATGCTGCCTATGACCCCAAGAACGCCATCCCCACCGTCAAACATGGAGGTGGAAACATTATGCTTTGGGGGTGTTTTTCTGCTAAGGGGACAGGACAACTTCACCGCATCAAAGGGACGATGGACGGGGCCATGTACCGTCAAATCTTGGGTGAGAACCTCCTTCCCTCAGCCAGGGCATTGAAAATGGGTCATGGATGGGTATTCCAGCATGACAATGACCCTGAACACACGGCCAAAGCAACAAAGGAGTGGCTCAAGAAGAAGCACGTTAAGGTCCTGGAGTGGCCTAGCCAGTCTCCAGACCTTAATCCCATAGAAAATCTGTGGAGGGAGCTGAAGGTTCGAGTTGCCAAACGTCAGCCTCAAAACCTTAATGACTTGGAGAAGATCTGCAAAGAGGAGTGGGACAAAATCCTTCCTGAGATGTGTGCAAACCTGGTGGCCAACTACAAGAAACGTCTGACCTCTGTGATTGCCAACAAGGGTTTTGCCACCAAGTACTAAGTCATGTTATGCAGAGGGGTCAAATACTTATTTCCCTCATTAAAATGCAAGTCAACTAATAACATTTTTGACATGTGTTGTTCTGGATTTTTGTTGTTGTTATTCTGTCTCTCACTGTTCAAATAAACCTACATTAAAATTATAGACTGATCATTTCTTTGTCAGTGGGCAAATGTACAAAATCAGCAGGGGATCAAATACTTTTTTCCCTCGCTGTACATGCAGTCCTCGATGTGAAGGCACGCTGCGAGCTTACATTGACATTATAATCACATTTACACAGTACATTTACATGCGGATTTCTACATTTAAATGCAGTCTTCGATGCGACGGCGCGCTGCGAGCTTACATTGACTTGCCAATCACATTTACACAGTACATTTACATGCAAATGTCTCAATTTAATATCACTAGCCCCCCCACTTCGTTTATGACTCTGGGGCTACGCCCATCTCTAACGTTTAAAAGCAGCCTGCATCAGCAGCTTCCCTATTTCTTCCGCCTGATGACGATTGCATAAGAGGTATTATGCAATGATTGAAAAACGTTATTCCTTGGGCAGATATAAAAATCACTGTTTTATCAAGTTCCACTCCACCCTGCCTTTAACTCATCTTTATTCAAAATGGTCGAGTGGATCTACTTGAAATACTCCACCATCCTGCCCCAATCGACCAAATGCCAATCTTGCCACATAGTTTACCTCGATTTACAGCCAATGTCGTACATTTATGCCAATTGCAAAATAATATAATCTCAAATAAATTAGGCCTTTTTTTGAACAGAAAAAACGACATTCCTAACAAACAGTTTCAGGTAGACAAAACTAAAATGTTGGTACCAGAGACAATTGTAACCATATAAAGCCATAACATTCTGTTAATTCATTTTCAAAAAATAATTTAACTTGACCAAAAGTACTACATATTGTGGGCCACTTATTCAGCACAGACCAACATATGACTGTAAAGTGGAAGGCTAGATATGTCACGTGGTGGCTGTGATGCACAGCAGCCATTTATCTTTCAAGTCATCTGTTAATGGCCCAACATGAGGAAATTAGACAAGATAAACAGACTCAATGAATTGCAGCGATTGATCTGTCTGCGTCCGCTTGAACTCCTGACCTGCTTCTCATTCTCGTCCTCCAGTCGAAGGCGATCCTCGATGCAGTTGCGTGCCTGCAGGAAGGCTTTGCGCTGGGCGCGCTCGGTGAGCACGCGAATGAAGGCGCCCGAGAGGTTCACGCTCACAAAGAGAGACACATTTGCCAGCAACTGCAGGGAAAAGATGTTGAACATCATGTCCCATCGCATCGCAGGCCAAGCACACACGTGCGCAGCGGTGGAAGGCCACATTAAATGCTCCCTTGCGTCCCCTCTGAGAAGGACTGAACCTTCTTACAGATTAAGGAGATATCAGTATGTAGTACATGCTGTCCCTGGGAAGCGAGGTCAGTGTGGAAACATGTTGCCTTCGGGCTACTGCAAAGGCCTCCAAAGGGTTAATGTGCCTAGCGAACTCAGCGAGGTGAGAAGATCGATTATGTTATACCAAAGAACATTACACTCAGCTGTCTCTGGGTACACATTGATGTAAAACATTTGAATTTCATTTGCAATAATAATAAAAACCCCTTGCACACTCTTTGCTCTTTTAGTGATAGTGATGACTGAAAGTACCACAATGTTCCTTTTTTCTGATGGGCACATGACAAATGGGAAACACTTGCTACGGAAGTACCTTTAACCACACAAGTACTCTCAATAGATATACTAAGCAAAAAGTGAAAGTGACAAATATGTTAGCATGCGTGCAAGTCTTTTCAATGACTGAATTCCCCCATGCAGGGTATTGTGAGCCTGTATTCTGATGCAGTACATCTGACAATTGCGTTAAAAATAACTAAATGGGTTATATTAAAAAGCTGCACAGCTCCGATGACACTATAACACCACACTGGCAAGGTAGCTGTTTGTAATGCTATCATTATATACCAATATCACAATGCAATAAGCATTCCAGAGCCATTATATCCTTCACACAATGAAACAACTTTAATAAAAAATATATATGTTTAGACCAAAAAGTTATTTGATCAATTGTTTACTCAAGATATGTATATAAGTAATGAGACATTGAGATTTATTGTCATTGCTGTACCTTAAAAATATATATCTAAGAGGTATGCTCTATAATGCTGTTGACTGAGATAGCCGACTACTATGACAATTTTTGCATTCTTACAATGGTAAACGTTAAAGAAAACACACCATGGTATACAGTAATAATGATATTGTTAAACCAATGTATCCTGTTGCATTAAGCATGTGCATTTATTCTAGTTTTAACAAAAGCTAGTACAATATAATAAATAAAAAAACCACTGCACAAGCCAGCTATTAAATGTTTGAAAATGGTAATTTAACAAAAACCTTATTTACAAGTAGACATAATCAATATAAATGGTAGCAGGTGTAGTCAATCGTTTTTCTAGATAATAAACAATGAGACTGCAGTGCTGGCTATAAATACCACAGACCACGTATGCAACTATAAGCAATATATAATTTCAGAAATACCTGGCATTGTAACGGCTTTGTGTATTTAAGCTTTGGAATTCCAGCGATGGCCAATCATTTTATTTCACTATTTGGCGACATATATTGCAGGCTATTTGTCCTCCCCAATTGGAGAATAGCGATAGTGGTTTTGAGGGTAAGCGAAAAAAATTATGTTGGGGACCGTATCAATATTGAATAGCACTGTCCAAATGGCGGCCCACAATAATTGCTTATTTTGCCGATTCAAAGCAATTCAAATCTGTAAATGACGAGAAAAACCATCACACCCGCTGCTCCATGTTCAGTATTGCTCTCTCAAGTCAAGTGAAATAATCTCTGTGTTCCAATAAGGGTTGGGTGGTTGCCTTTATCCATTGGTGACCCAACATCTGTGGTGGGAATTATCCATTCCTACAGGGGGAGGGGGGCAGTTTCTCTTTAAGATGATCAATGTTATACTTATTTTTATAAATCCCAGAGTGGTGAAGGGCTGTCACCTACCAACAGCAATTTGAAATTACAACCTCCTAATTATCATTCATACTCTGCCACAGGGTCACGTGGCTGCGTACAATATATCAAAACAGTATATTAATATACAGTATATTCATACATTGTACTCTACTATACTGTATTTGTGAAACATCATATTTCTTACATTGCAGTATTGTAAGGAGGCTTTCATCCAGTAGATATTTAACCATGGCTGATGATGATGATAAATGCACTCTAATGTTTGACACGTTTTGTTTTACCAGACCAGCATCACGCGGAACTGGGGGTCAAGGTGGGCTTTAGCTGTTTCCCTTTTAAAATAACGAGAATAAAATAACACATTTTCTTTAGCTCAAGTTCTTCGGAGCAATGTTTTAGTTCCTAAGTGGGGACACGCAATTGTTAAGAGTCCTTGACTCGTTTTCACACATAAGGGGAGAAACTGGGCTGGGCAAAATCTGAGCTGAAAGTCCAGGGTTTTGAAAGTATTATTTGGCAAAATGAGATCAATCACATTGTGCACCTCATACATCCGCAGCAATTTAAGCAGTCATTTTCCACAGTCCTCAATTTGCAGCAACGGGTACCCCGCTCCCCCCCCCCCCCCAGTTTCTGTGCAATAAAATACCAATGTGTTTTTCTTGTTTGAAATTAATGACTAAAAATGCACTTATGTATGCTATTACTGCAGCGACACGTAATAAAGGTGTTGTGTACCGCATCTCTTATAGTTAGCGGGATAATATTATTTCAGTAAATGCTACTGCTTGGAGAAGCCGTCCAGCAGTGGTTTGACAGATGATATGTCCACGTTCAGATACGCGTGGATATAGTACACAGTATTTTTGAAGGCTCAGCGCCCCGTTCTGAATCTTATAGTAAAATTAAAAAAATGGTGTTACAATATTTTGAATGTCGTGGCCCCAACTGAACGTTTAGTGTGTTCCTCTTTTAGACACCATAGAACAGCAAAAACTATTTAAAACGTTACTGCAGCCTTCCGGAAATAGATAGTCAACACTGCAAAGCATAATTTCATTCAACTGGACTGAGCCTGGTGAATCGGGAGGTTGTGCCACTGAGGTGCACACATGCAGCGCTTGATCCGTTTTCTGTTAGAACTGTGACCGATTGCGTACATCTTTCATAATCACCGGCCATAATGAATCGACTGCTGGATGAAGGCCGACCCAAGCCGTCGACTTATCACGATCCGACGATGTACTCATATTAATAAACTCAGCACCTGCACACAATCTGCTTTAATCGCTCCATCTCCTTCGGCGGACGTACTTTCTGACACGTTCCATTCCTTGGCGACCACGCCGTAATTATTCTTGACCAATGGATAATAGCCTTGCCCAAGCGCATTTACTTCTCTTAACAGTTCCGATGAAGTAATTAACCTGCGTATGTTCCCTAATCCGTGCCGTTTTTTTTATTTCTGTATCTCAAAACAATTCCGAGAATGGTAAATCTAGGATTAACACAATATTTTAGGAGCGCCACCTATGGACGCAACTAAACACTACGGTGCTTTCCTGCAAATCTATTTAAACATCACCAACCTTCCATACAAGGGCGTCGCGTGCTAATTGCTCCAGTATCTACAATTGCTACCGGTGTCAGCTGCAGCTGTGTAACATGGTGACCAACACCAACCAACGAAAGTGGTGGGTCAACCCTGAGCACGGGTCACCCGTCAAAGCACTTCTAAGATGGCACCGGACACTTTAATTAAAGTAATGAGCCGAGACGTGGCTGTCGAGTAATTTGTACAAGATAATGCAAAGATGGCTGTGTGTTAAACACATTAGGTCCCAAATGTGCAATCAACCACGGCGAGGTCTCCCCCCCACCCCCATACCCGCAGTGCAGGACCTGACCTGTCTTCTCGCGTTTAAGACAAATACGTACAGTGCATGTGTGCTATGAGTTCTATTCCCGGGTCACGGCTAACATGAGTGGCAAGTGGCATCAAAACTGGTGCTGGGTCCTCCCAATCCCAACCTTTACCAAACCACACTGACCAGAGTGGTGAAGTATGGTAAAGGACACAAAATAAACCCTATGACCAACATGGCGTGGGAAGACCTCATTCATTTGTGAATTGAGAATGGCTGGTTCTTATTTTATTTCCTATGTTGTAACTACCTCTATTGCACATAGGGGTTTATATACTTGCTATTTTGGGTTCTTTACAACGGATTGCATGGGTGATAATTGACATGTTACAACGTGCGTTATGCCCATTGCTTGTAAGTGTTCAGGGTATCCCGCTGTTTTCATAACTAATTGTTTTTCATAAATAACAACTTACAACTGAATGCATACAATATTACGCTTGTGTACAAAAAAAAACCCTACAACCCCAAAGTTGTCATCAAGATTAAAGACCGTACCGAAGTATTGCCGTAATAACTAATCGTTTGTCCTGTTTTGAACAAAAATTGTCACCGACCTTTTGCTTATGGCTGCCGTCGATTTACAATCTCTTTGATCACTTTTTTTACGAGCAGGCATTTAAGACCGTTTTGTGCTTTTTGCTCAAATGCGTAATAAAAAATGGGAAATATTGTTTCCCCCAATGTGTTTACACTGATCCATTCACACACACAAACACACACTAACCCCAGAGCAAGCGCCTCTTCGGCTTTGCTAAGGCAACTCGTAAAGTTCATGCGACCCATATTTCTATTTACGGACACCCTCGTAGCACGTCACTGACCTACATGTCTCACTCACCTCATTACATTGCGTCACTTTGTGCGCATGGAATGGGCCAGGCTTGGCCAGTAGTACACTGTATTAAATCTGCTAAAAGCACTCCAGAGTGTATTGTAAGCTTTAATACCGTTAGAGCTGGGTCGGAAAAAAACCGAATAAACAAATATCGTGCTGTAAATACTTTTGTTTTTAAATATATATCATGCATGGTTCTGGCTTTCGTGCTAAACGTCCCCCATCACTCGTTGTCCTCTCAAATGACGGGGTTCATGTCTAATCATGCGTGGTGGTCTTATTGCTATTTTAAACTTTCGATTCGGTGGTAGTACTGTGGAGGTGGTGATGAGGACAAGAGAGTATGCGGCAGTACTGTGGAGGTGGTGATGAACCGCATCAGATCAAAACATCACAAGGTCGCTGCGGATGCCATACGCGCAAGTGAAGACTTAAGCGCACTCCAACGGTACCAACGTGGTGAACAGCTCCATACCGTGACTGAAATTCACTGTGCATCTCCACCCAGAAGCGTCTGACATGATATCAACACAACTTCACCCTGTAAACATGTTGCTTATCCTCCATCCTGACATCATCACGGTCACCGCAGACAAAGGATAACTTAGCCGTGAGCTGCTGTGCGTTCACCAACCACACTCACGTCCGTCTTAAACACAATCGTACAACGGGGCATTACCGGTTGCGTGCGCTTAGCTTCTTACATGGCCGTCGTTTTGCAAAGTCCCGTAGTATGGTCACAACTGACTCTGTACCATCTAGATTTCCATTTCTAATGGTTACATGTTAACGGCACTATATAGTAAACGCACCATATATACAAAGTCTCGACAGGAAACGTGTTGGATCCATTAATGTTGTCGCATGTTTGGGAATATTTAATTGTACAATTGCTCCACAAGCCGCGAATCAAACAACGAAAATACCTGTAGCTATTATTTATATCCAATGCTAGAACATGACGCATTCTCGATAACATCGAGCATGTAACATCTAAGTTGAAAGTGTGATTGTAAAACGCATGACGTCGCGTGGGAGTGCATATACGGCATTCTGTATGAAACGCAGCGGCGGGAGTCGAGGCCCTTTGTAAAATGTTCACTGGATCTGTCTTCCATAGCGATATGCATGTCCTGTCCTTCGTAGCGATACGCTTGTTGTTATTCCACCGCATAAGATTGAATGCCTTTCCTTCCGACACGTGGTCCATTTGTTTACATCAAGCGGCAGCGACAATTCACGTCGCGTTATGCGGCCGGCTTCGCGTGACTGGCACCTTGCACGTCAATTAGTTGGCTCGATCACCATCATTGTCATCATCATAATCGGCCACTAACTATCCACTGCTGGATGAAGGCCTCCCCAAGGCGTAACCATCTCCGAAAGTTTGACAGTGATGGAGACAATATGCTTTACTTAAATTAATACCAACATGAGTACGGGTTTTGTTTAATTATTATTGTAAAAACTAAACCTTTTTCCGCGAAAACGAGATGTTGGTTCGAAGTGGTGTGTATACAACATGATGTGAGAAACAGTGATAGGACCAGTGAAGGTAGTAGGATTTATAGAGGACACGTTGAGTGAGAATAGACTGAGATGCTTCGGGCACGTGGCCAGACAGTCGGAAGACGACGTCGGAAATACAATTTTCAGAACATGAAAGTCGAGGGAAAGATAAAGAGCAGACCGAATAAGACATGGTGAAAACTTCTGAATGAGGGCATGAGGGTATGCGGTAGTACTGTGGACGTGGTGATGAGGACATGAGAGTATGCGGTAGTACCGTGGACGTGGTGATTGAGGACATGAGAGTATGCGGTAGTACTGTGGACGTGGTGATGAGGACATGAGAGTATGCGGTAGTACTGTGAACGTGGTGATGAGGGCATGAGAGTATGCGGTAGTACTGTGGACGTGGTGATGAGGACATGAGAGTATGCGGTAGTACCGTGGACGTGGTGATTGAGGACATGAGAGTATGCGGTAGTACTGTGGACGTGGTGATGAGGACATGAGAGTATGCGGTAGTACTGTGAACGTGGTGATGAGGGCATGAGAGTATGCGGTAGTACTGTGGACGTGGTGATGAGGACATGAGAGTATGCGGTAGTACCGTGGACGTAGTGATGAGGACATGAGAGTATGCGGTAGTACCGTGGACGTGGTGATGAGGGCATGAGAGTATGCGGTAGTACTGTGGACGTGGTGATGAGGGCATGAGAGTATGCGGTAGTACTGTGGACGTGGTGATGAGGACATGAGAGTATGCTGTAGTACTGTGAACGTGGTGATGAGGGCATGAGAGTATGCGGTAGTACTGTGGAGGTGGTGATGAGGACATGAGAGTATGCGGTAGTACTGTGGAGGTGGTGATGAGGACATGAGAGTATGCGGTAGTACCGTGGAGGTGGTGATGAGGACATGAGAGTATGCGGTAGTACCGTGGAGGTGGTGATGAGGACATGAGAGTATGCGGTAGTACTGTGGAGGTGGTGATGAGGACATGAGAGTATGCGGTAGTACTGTGGACGTGGTGATGAGGACATGAGAGTATGCGGTAGTACTGTGGACGTGGTGATGAGGACATGAGAGTATGCGGTAGTACTGTGGACGTGGTGATGAGGACATGAGAGTATGCGGTAGTACTGTGGACGTGGTGATGAGGACATGAGAGTATGTGGTAGTACTGTGGAGGTGGTGATGAGGACATGACAGTATGTGGTAGTACTGTGGAGGTGGTGATGAGGACATGACAGTATGCGGTAGTACTGTGGAGGTGGTGATGATGACATGAGAGTATGCGGTAGTACTGTGGAGGTGGTGATGAGGACATGACAGTATGTGGTAGTACTGTGGAGGTGGTGATGAGGACATGACAGTATGCGGTAGTACTGTGGAGGTGGTGATGAGGACATGAGAGTATGCGGTAGTACTGTGGACGTAGTGATGAGGACATGAGAGTATGCTGTAGTACTGTGGTGGTGATGAATAGAAGACTGTGGAGAGTGGAGACTCGGACAGCAGACACTTTCGAGAGGGACACACGCTGGGAGGAAGATGTAACACAATCGTAATGGTTGCATTTCCAATAAACTATGTATATATTTCTAAACAAACACATGAAACCAACAAGGCACATATGCATTGAATACGAATAGCCTCACTACAAAGGACCCCCCCCCCCCAGCTCGGGAACCCTAATTAATTATTGCCTAATCACCCCACAGTCACGTATAGTATATGATTAAATGAGTGTTGGTTTAAACGAGGGTGTGGGGGGGAAACCTCAATGGGAGGTGTCAGACAAGCAACGAGGGGGGTCTTGTGGGGGGGGGGGGGGGCTTACCGTCCTCCACAAGCCGTTCGGTAACGGCGGCGCCGACGTGGCCGTGACGATGAAGTGGGAGATGGAGACCATGAGCCCGAAGAGCAGAGCGAGCAAAGTCCGCACAGGCAGCAGAGCGTACACCACGAATGTGACGAGCATGACCTGCCACATGCCGTGAGACGGCGGCTGCCCCGACATTCCCAGCGTGAAGGGGAACGGGCAGCAGAGGAACGAGAAGGTGAAGCTGAAGAGCAGCGTCAGGTTGACGATCTGCTGCAGCTGAGTCACCTGCAGGTACTTGACGTTCGTTACGATGAAGAGCGACGTGAAGATGACGCAGTGGATGGGATTGGAGCCCTTCGCCACCGTGATGGTGGGTGACGAGGTGAGCTCCACCACGGCGATGGTGGCCGTGGTGACGATGAGCACGGCGAGCGCCTTGAGCGTACCAGTCTGCTCCAGCTTGAGGTTGTAGCTCAGGAAGAGGCCCTCGAGTTCTCGGCAGCTGAACTCCTCCTCGCAGCCCAGCGCCTCGGCGCGCCGCCCGGGGATGCAGGGACATCTCTTTCGCCTGGACTTCACCTTCTGGAACGGCGAGTCATCCATGGCAGTGCCATCCATGCACAGGCTGGCGGGGTCGCTGGTGAGGGTGGGTAGAGCTTGCTGCTGCTGTTGCTGCTGCTTGATGGTTAGGTTGACTTGGGTGTCGAGGGGTGGATTTGGGGAGGAACGGCAAATTGGAAGTCTGGTTCGGCGGTTCGGTATGTTTGGGTAGGTTTAGGTGGCCACGTTTGGTATGCGGGTGGATGGATAGGTGGGTGTGTGGGATGTAGGGGTGGCGGGTCTAGGTTGATCGGGGGGGGGGGGTAGGAAGGTGGGGGGAGATCTGTGGGGAGGGGGGGGCAGGGGGTTCCTCTTATCCGCGGGTCATGCGCGCACCCCGGATCACCACGGATGCGCGCAGAGCCCCGCAGCTCCCCGCCGCTTCCCGACTCGCCGGTGCCGCCTCTCGCTCGCTCTCCACCGGCGGCCGACCCACCGTTGTCGCCAAGAACACCCAAACATTTGCTATAAATACGGACCGGGCGTGCACGGATGGGGCTGGACGCTGGCGTCAAGTGCCGACGTATGTCATAATAATAATAATCTAATAGCGAGTGTCCGTTACAGAATATAGTAAGCCTCTCTGTATAAATACAAACAAAAAATACGCGCGCGGACGGGCGATCGCAGCCACTGCGCTCTGCGTGCCTCCCCCCCTCCCCGTCTCTCTCTCTCTATATACTCGGCTACATTCTTTACCTGCATTCTACCGCACAGCGTACCCGTACACTACTAACACACATCCCGTACGGCATCCCGTACCGCACGCGGAGGCACGGGGGCTGCTTCCTGCAGACGTGCTCAAAATTGACGTCTGCTGTTGCGAGGAGAGAGGAGAGAGAAGGAGAAGAAGAAGAAGCCCCAGCGGCGAGCGACGGCGGCGGTAGTGGCGGTGGCGGCGTCTGTGCGCGGGCGTGGGATGGGACATGCGCAGCAGCGCGGCCAGGGATAATGAGTATAATCTGCGAGGCAACCGCTGCATCCCCGGATTTATCCGAGCTGCTGACAGCGCTCACGCACACCCACCACCACCAGCAGCAGCAGCATCAGTACGCCGCCGGCTTGCGGATTCAACCCACCAGGGGGGTGGGTGGGTGGAGAGGGGGGGGGTGAAGGCTCCACGGTGACAGGTTTGCATGGCGAGAGCTGGGACGTGGGTGGGAGGAGAAGCGAGGTTGTGGTGGTGGTGGTGATGATGATGTAGTGGTGGGGTGGGTGGGGGGTTGTTCGACGGGAGGGACGTTGTGATGACGGGTCTCCTCTCCTACACCCAGCAGTCGCAGCCTCATCATCATCAGCAGCAGCAACCGTATCATGCCGTGAAGCGCACACTGTTGGCTTCTACTCGGGAATCAAAATGGGTGTCATGCCCCACCGCGTGACTAACGCACCTCAGCACTTTGTTTTTAAGCGCCTACTGCTTGAAATGTGCACACCACGTGGGGTAGGGTACGAAAGTCCGCAAACGGATGCGGTGTTGCGGTATTCCACATTCTTCTAGAACGTGCAAGTCGCATAGCTAATAATATTCGTCAGCAGCCAACATTTAAGCCACTGCTGGATGAGGGCATTCCCAAGCCGTCACCAAGTCCCACAGTCCTGCAATGTAAGACACCACCGTGCGCCTAAAAAGTGTCAGCTACCATTGTCACTGTTTTTTGACCTTCGGCCATTGACGTGTCCTGCCCAAGCACACTTAAAAAAATGTGCTTGAGTTATGTCTTTGTTCTCCTAATCCACGTGTTTCTCTTTTTATAATAATACTAATATCAAAGTGGCAGATGTAAGTCATTGTGTTACCCAAATGATAATGTCTAATTTCTGATCCTGGGATGGACCTGAAGGAGCGAAAAAAATATCGTAGAAATTACTGTATTGAATTTCAGCTAAACGCTTGCAGTCAGGCGAATCTATCAAGAAGAGGGCAAGTCAATGCTTGCAATTACAAAGGTATGCTCATACATTTCCTCCTTCCCAAAGTAGTTTCTGCAAAACTGAACGTGATAAAAAAAAACCTGCAGCGAGAATCCGACCCACAACGCACTTTAAAGAATACATCTGGCGAGCTGAGAGAGCCTGACAAAGATGTGCACAGCAATATGCACCTGCGGACATTGATTTAATAATTGTAGTACCAGCCTTACTAAATCGCAATCAATGCATAATTATGGGGATATTATTACAATCTGAGTGGTTTATCCGCGGCTCTTTTAATGCGGCCTAACAGTATCCCCTGACTTACATTTCGTTTAGAGATGAAGTGGAGGTGAAGTCCTGCAATGTATTGCCCACACCACTTGGTAAAAGGGCCTTGACTAGATGGAGCTCTAGAGAGTCAATCTCAGAGAATATTTTGGCCTACTCTTCCACGTTGACCATACATCTTGGAAGAGGTTTGGAATGCCCACACTTTACCCTATCAATATAAACCAGGCAATCGATTAACTGTGATGTACCTATTTATTCTGCTGAATGGAGAGAGGCGGTGGGGGGGTGGATTGATTTAATAAACCTGCTCCGTTTCAACTGCCGCGCCGGAAGATTGAACCGGTGCCCTCTGCATTGCAAGTCCAGTGCACGAACCATTGCACAAAGGCAGTATCCCCTGTGTTGAGGAAGTCTTAGAACCACAGCTTTCCGATTTTTTATTACATGCTTTTTATTAACTGTTGTTGAATCCTCAAATCTTGTAACTCAATTTTACCCCACTTCCCAATGTGGTATCGACTGCAAACTTGGTATACTTATGTGATACTGATGACAATACTATATTCTATCATAAACATTTTTAATATATATTTTTTAACATTTTTTATATGTTATGTTTCGGCTTGGGTCTAATTGTCCACGCTCAACTGACGTTGGCTGTAAATCACCACGGCAAGCTTCGGGATCACTTCCTGGAGTCGTGGAGTTCTGCCATTGTGAGTACGGTACATTTCATGAAAGCGTGTTGTTAAAAAAGTTTTTTTTTAATATTACTTATTATTATTTTGTAACTAGCTTTAAGTACCCGACGTTGCACGGGCGAAAAAGACAGACACACACATGGACTTACACACACTTTCTATGTACATGAGTTTAGTGGAAGGTTGGGACAGAAATATAATTTGTCCGCCACAGGGGGGGGGGGGCTGGGGGGGCTGAGCCCCCCCTGAAATTTTGGGAAAGTCGGTAATCGGGATAACCGGATATCTGGCTGCTGCAAAATGCTGTCTGCCACCTTTTGCTGCCCTGCAGGCTGCTTGAGCGGCAGCCTTTCGAACTTATCGAATTTATTAGCCACATCAGCGGCTGCGATCTATGAATAAACCCCGCGTTCAAATCCAATAAAATTTGTTTTATACATTTGTGGTGCTCATTGGAAAACATACACTGGATATCTCAGAATATTGAAGTCAGCCCCCCAAAGTCAATCCTGGCTCCACCCCTGGTCCGCACACAAACATTATGAATGTAATATTATCAAGGTGATTATTGAAAAAAAAGGTTTCTATGAAGGTGATTTGACACCAAAAGAAAAGAATGCAGAGCAAGTGAATAATAAAATAATAGTTGTGAGCACACAAACGAAAATATGTGAATATTTTTAAGGTGATGATAAAAATACCAGGTTTCTGTGTACAAGAGTTGAGCGAAAGAAGCATGGAATACAAAAATTAGTTGTCTGCACACAAACATTATTAATGTACATTGACTGTGTCTTTCGGTAAAGTCACGCAGATAGAAAAATAATGAAAAGTGGAAAAAATAGCACACAATATCATACAACAAGAACCGCCATTCGGTATTAAGTGGCGGTGACGTCACCACGACGCTTGTGGCAGGTTATGTGCACCTTGAGGCCACGTGAAGTGTCGAATGCCTGCTGGCAGGAGGTTATGGGGCAGACAGAGATTGCACAGGTCAACTGACTGAGACGACTGGCTGATGCACCACCTGTGCCCCTACTGTGCTAACTTGCTGTGCTTTAGCTACCCGGCGCTCCGCTCATCGTTGTGAGCCCCCACGATCCGGCCGAACAAAAGCTATTTAGGCATGTGGTGGCTGGGCATGCGAGCTACATGGCCCAGCCAACGCAGCCTTGCCTGCCGGAGGAGCTCACACGGATGAGACTTTGTCCACATCTTTAAAGGATTTTTGAGCTCCTCACACAATCGAGCGTGGTTAGACCCAGGATGGATCGTAGGCAGGCCAGCCTAAATGTTTGTAACTGGTGAAGATGTTCCATTAGGGGGGTCCACGTTTCGCATGCGTAGAGCAGGGAGGGAATGACTGTGGCCGAGAAGACATGAAGCTTGGTGCAGAGCGACAGACCAGGTAGATTCCACACAGTGTTACGCAACCGATGAAAAGACAATGCCGCTGGACTGATTCGGAGTGAGACCTCTGCTGTTAAACCGGAGCCAGACATGAGCACACTGCCCAGGTATAGCAAACTCTCCACTAAGAGGTGGAGTGTCCAATGGTACAAAATACCCAGGCAGGTGCTTAGTTTTGGTGGGGCTGATGGTAAGGCTCCACCTCTTAGTGGCAAGCTCCAGGTTCAGCAGCAGTGCCTCCAACTCCTCCTCTGAGTGAGCAGCAATCACCAGAACATGGCATACTTAACATGGTTGAGCAATAGGGAGCCATCCCTTGACCGCACCCGGGCATCGATCAGCCTCCCATTGTATTTGTACCATATGGTAATTCCTCCGGTACAGCCATTGAAGGCTTCACGAACTACGTGGTCAAAAGATATGTTAAATAATGTGGGAGCCAGAGGACATCCCTGTCACACCCCAAGGTGTAGAGGGAATGCCTCTGACTGACGGCCACGTAGTTTGACGTGGGACCGCTCACCATCATGAAGGCCCTTAAAGATCGTGAGCAAAGGGTGAGGGACTCCGAAAGCATGAAGAACAACCCAGAGGCCAGGCCTACTGATGGCATCATAGGCCTTGACCAGGTCAATAAAGCACATACATTCAGTCACACGCACACATGGACCTACAGACACGCAAATAAATGGACTTACACTGACTCACATAGAGCCACGCACACAAAGCGACTAACACGCCCATGGACTGACACACAGACATATAGACTCACACACAAACACATGGACTTACACACACACATATGGACTCAGACAGGCACAGACATCCACTTTAGATCCACACACATGGAGTTACACAAACACATATATCGATGTACACACATACAGCGACACACACACATCGACTCGCACACAGACATACGTGGACTCACACACACATTGACGTAAACACACATATGTACTTACACACACACATATTGACTAAGACACACACACATGGACTTACACATACATACATAGACTGACACACACATTGCCCTACACACACATACGCAGATGGACTGTGACACACAGACATCTACTTTAGATACACACACAATGGATGAACACACACATATCGACTCACACGCATTGACTTACACACACACATCGACTGACACACACATGTATGGACTTACACACATGTGGACTAACACACACATATGGACTGACACACATACATTTCGACGTACACACACATCGACTGACACACAAACGCACATTGACTTACACTCAGATGGAGCCATGCACACACATCGACTAACACACACACATCGACTCACACACAGGTAAGTTGAGAAGCAAGCTACAGTATAGATTATAGACTGCCAGTACACCGACTCAATGACATAAGCATTGCTACAGTCGACATAAAAAGCTGGCAATACGGGCAGCAGCTGAAAAAGCAGAATACAGTGGACATGAAAGTCTGACAGTACACTGAGTGAGGTAAAGAACCAGGCAACAGATTATAGACTGGAATACACTCATAATGGTCAAATGAAAATTAGCAGCGTAGATAATAGAGTGCCAGTGCACTGACGTTAATTAATCAGCAGGCCACATCACAGACTGGCAGTAGACCGTCACAGCGTCATAAAAGCACAGCTATAGTAAACAATAATACGACAATAATGCTATCTAAACGCTGTCATAATATTAATATCTATGGACTTAATAGCAGTAACTGCACGCATCGTGTTGGGGGGGGCGAA